ACAATTACTAAAATGTAAACTAAAATTCAAGTGAAACCTAGTTATATAAAAATAAAACTAGTTTGAAATATTAATAAAAAGTATCATATATGATACTAAAATAACATTGATCAGTCCACAGACTTTTTTATATAATAAAATTATTTAAATATTTAGTTTCCATTTATTTATCATGTAAATTACAATAATTATAATATAATATAATATAATAATAATATTTCATACCACAGAGGCCATAGAGACCAGTGCATTTCTCGCTAAAGTGTTGAAAGGATTTCCAGCGATTGCCATGGCAACAGACTGATTGATGGGGGTGATGCTGTCAGGATCTTCCTCAGGCCCACCAGATTTGCCTTTACTGCCACGCGAGTCAGATACTGTGAAGACAATATTTACTCACTCACACATATAAACCATAGATCTGAAAAGCATTTTCAATTTCAAACTACCATCATGCACCACCAAAGAGCCATAATCCAGCACTTTGGCCCACTGGCTAAAAGCAACTATCAAGTCTAACTGACCCCTTGTCCAAATACCCCCACTTGCGGTCTTGGCCACTTGAGAGCACGTGTGTGCGACAGGAACTAAGTGTGCAAGACTGTGCCAGGTCTTAAAAACGCCAAAGCGCAGTGCCCTTAACACACTATCTTAGTGTATCCCATCATGCATCATGTTCTGGAAATAAATTGTGAGACTTTTTGCCGAGATCTTGCGAAAGGTCACGGAAACCTTTCCAATGTATGTTAAATATTAATAATAATCAGATATTACATACTGTATAATTTGGTAGTAAAACAAAGAGTTGCATGTTTTATTGGTGCAAATGAGTAGTGGTGATATATATATATATTTTTTTACAACATTTGCAACTGCTTTTTATCACTTAATTAGAAGCACCACAGAATTAAATTATGTCATCTGTTATAGAGACTACTGAACAGACATTTAGAAGTTGATTTTAAAATGCAAAGTATTGAATATAAAAATAAAACTCTGTAAACACTTGCATTTTTACAGCACTATAATGTGTCCCATCAGTTAATGAAAAGTTCTACACACACTTCATGCTCACACTTGGACCAAATACAGGAAATACGTCATATAAGTAGTCAAGTGGTCAAGTGCAAAGACTGCAAGTGTAGGTATTTGGACAAGGGGCCAGATTAACAACGTGACTTGTGTAAGGCAGTACCTGTGAAGTCAAGGTAATTGATGGAGTCAATGATGATGCCCACTAGAGGGAGGTAGAGAGCAGCAATCTTAGCCTTGACCTCTGGCCTTGAGCAGCGCTGGTCCAGATCATGAGCGCACAATAAGCTGTATGTGGCACTGATGGCCTTTTGTTGTACTCTCCCCCTGCGTATACACACATTAATTAATAACGTTTGGTAAATGCACTCTTGAAAAATGTACTAAACCCTTTAGTGGCACACATTAAATGTGACCGACCCCTCTGACTCCATGTCCAGTGCAGTGCTGAGTTCGGTCAGCAGCAGTCCGGTCAAGTAATGCCGCTGCTTAAAGTCTTGCGACAGATCAAACATGGCTGTGATCTTATGGTCCTGAAAACTGCACGAGCTGGAGGTCTGGTGACAAGGACAAAGATTTTGTCTAGATACTCATTGTTTCCAAATACTGCGAGTATTAGACGAGGCGTAACACAGACATAACACAGCAGAATTATGTTGTTTCTTCACTGACCTGTGAGGAGGTGGAGGGTGACGGGGAGGCGGGGGCAGACGCAGGGCTGCTGAAGAACAGGCTGAGATTGAGGTAGTGCTCATGACTGCACAGGACCCTCAAAAACTCCAACCTCATACTG